TAATCAACCATTTCGTCCATTGTTTGAAAGCCTTGCGGCGATTGGAGCGAACCTGCTATGCAGGTAGCGAGCAGTACCATCCAGGTCAGTTTACCCATTTTGTTAGCTTACTTGAAACAAGTCTACTTTGTGTTTGTATTTCATTGTTTATATACAATAATTTTTTTGGTGATAAACCTATGAAACTCTTATTCCTATTATCTGACTCGACTGGGGGTAATGTGACAGGTGCTTATTATGAGCAATTAATCTGATCAATGTCATGTCATGTGTAAAAATTGTATTTTGCAAAATGTTATAATTTTATAATTATAAATTATTTGAATTAATTTTTCAATGTGAATTGTATTTTGGATTGGTTTATATAAATTATACAATTTGCAACAATTAGAGTTAAATAATTATTCGTAAAATTGTTGTACGTTTTGTACTAGACATTTATATACAAATGTTATCTATTTATTAACAAAGTTCATGGCTAATGACAAAAATGTTCGTTTAAACGTCAGTCAATTGAAGTGTTTTTCTAAGAAATTTATGCTTATCACCCATGACAATTTACTTTTAAGTTAAATCTTATTTACCTGATTATAAAAAATATCATTATTTTATAAAACTTTGAAAGCTACAGTACTAAACACATTACTATTGCATACTGTACTGTACATAAAATATCTAAAGTATTGTGATAAAAATATTACATATAACAAGTAGAAATTGTTATAAAAAATTTTATTTTAAAAATGTTAATCGCAATTACAATAAAGGTTTACAGTTTTGGTAAACCGGCCACGACTCTACTTTCAAAGGCACACTCGTTGTTACCCCTCTTAATCTTGAACAACCCTTTGTCACCCCAGTCCTCATTCCACGAGTTAGCCACCAGCCAGTAGTCCACACCCTCCTCGACACCCCACCCGATAATCTTAACGGCGTGTCCGCCCTCTTGCTTACCGGTCACGTGATGGTAGACACCGGACTTGTAGGTCAGGAAATCGGTGTAAACCTTGATTAGGGATTAAAAATTATTTAATTAAAAAATATAGGCCTTGAGATTCGTATCCAATTACATAAATATTATGTACTTTTATAATATTCATGAAAATTTTTTTTTGAATTACAGTTTAACAAGGATATATTGAAATAATATTTAGCAATTATTTAGCGCAAATTAATCAGTGTAAACCTATTCATTATAAGCATACAGTATAATTTTAAAAAATTCAAAATAATATGTAATTTCCATAAACTATAATGACTTCAAAAGACTAGCCCATAAATTTAATAATGTGGCCTTGTTTATATTCTTATGTGAATTTTAAATATAAATTACAGTTTTTCAAATTGTTATTTTAATATGTTCAAACATAACTATACCAATTTGAAAGTGAAATAAATTATGTATTATATCAGATAAACAGTAATAACATTAACTTATTATTAATAATAAAATACAGAATACCGTAAATCCAACAGCTACCGGGCCATTTTTCAAAATATCCAACTGGAGTTCCTTATTCTGGCGACTGAACCCATAGGTTTTGCTACCTTTGTGTTTGTCCCCGGTGTACGTACGGTTGTAACTGGCCTCACACGCGTGCTTACACGAGGGGGTTGACACTGTATCGCCGCATGGGGGCAGGTGTCCGGATACATGGTGCTCGCAGCTGGCTATGGTGTACGGTTGGCAACCCTTTTTGCTGTTGTACAGTCCACCGGATACCAGTCCCGTCTCGACGTAGTACTCATACGCACTTTCAATGATACCCCCAAACTCACAATCCCCGGCCCCACTACAGGCCAGCATATCCTCGGCCGACACCTCCACCTGTTGTTTACCCTTCGAGGCGATGCAAATGCGGTCAGAGATGGCCTCCACCACCGCGAACGCCCAACAAGATCCTGGGATTTAGGGTAATTAGATAAGTAAGCAAGGTGTTTTTTGTAAATATTTTAAATTATGTCACAATAGTTTATTAGTGGGTCATTATTAACTCTATTATATATTATACCATGCAACACTATATTGTATAATGATGTATTCTGTTAATTAATGTACCTTATTTTAAGCAATCTTACTACACAAGCAAACTTATTACATAAAACTATTATGTTTTCTACTAATGATTTACTAATAAAATTCACTTAAAAGTGTCAATATATTTATTATTATATGATTTCTAAAATTTCAAACTCACCGCACGATCCCTGGTCTCTGATCTCCTTAATGGAGGCGCAGTCGGGCCACTGTTCCCTCGAGTCAAACGTCTCGGGTATGTCCTCATTGGTGTCGTAAGTGGGCGGTGGGTTCGGTACGTACGAGGCAGGCCTGTCCAGGAGACCCAAATGGACTTGCGATTTGTCGTTAAAGTTTTTGCCAGCCTTATAATTAGCATAATAATTTAATACCAAGGTATTTTATTATTGAAATTATTTATGCCATACCTTCCATGAGATGTCCAAACTGTTAATGTAATCAATCATTTCATCGGTATTTTTGAAGCCTTGCGGTGATTGTAAGGAACCTGCGATGCAGGTAGCAAACAGTACCATCCAGGTCAGTTTACACATTTTGTTAGCTTAAATGTAATGTAAATTATGATAAAGAAATTAAACTGTATATAAAACATTTAGCTTATATACAGTAATTTCTGTTAAACATGTATTAAAACCTTTTATCAAACTTCACTGGAGGTAGGCATTTTTAGTACAGTACTGTACTTGGATCAATATTTGATAACATGATGTGGATGGTTTATTAATTTTAGTATTTTAAATAATATATCTTAAATGTTGATTAAATAGTTTATGTTTTTCGCAAATAAATTAGCATTTCTAATATTTTTGATAATAAATAGTATAAAAATTTTAACTAATTTAAAATAATATAAAGTAATATAAAGTACATGTATGGAATGCCTTTCCATGAAATTTGAGGAGGGTAATCTAGACTTTAATAAAGATTAGTAATTAGATCTTAGATTACAATTAGTTGCATGTAACACACCAAAATTCATATTAATTTGACATGTTCATCTTTCTTATACAAAAAGTCCTTTTTATCAATATTAGTGCATTTCATTTTGATAACATTTTATATTTGATTGTATATTATTATTTATTATATCGAATCATTAAATATATTTTTAATTTTTAAATCAATACTTTAAAATATATATATAAAATTAACTTTATCAACATTTGGTAAAAAATTGTTGAAATTTTGTTAAAACATTGTAAAAGTGATGTAAAAGTCGATAAAAATACTCGTTTTTTGTTTCGCACTACTATTATAGCACATAATACTTAAAAATAATACGCTTTTCATTGATTTTATGTCTCATTTTATAAGCCATTCCTCATCTGTAAGGGTATTCTCAGCGATAATCCAAATTCACGAAAAATGTATAGAAAATGATAACAACTATTATTTGACATCAATTTCATATTCAAGGAATATATTTGCGAAAGTTTTTTGATATGAAAAGTATATGGATTTACAAAATGTAGACATTTTAAAATGTTGAAGTTTGTCCACTAAAAGTACTTTTAAATAGCTTGATTTTAATAAAAAATATAATTAAATAATAATATTTTTTATTTTAAAAATTAATATGCTGATAGAATGTATAGTTTATTAAGATACCAATATAAAAAGTTAACTTATACATGGAATAATTATTTAAATTAAAATAAAATTTATTTTTAATGTTTATTATATACATACATAATGAGTGCAAAAGCCAAAAGTAAAAATATTAAATATTTCAAATGTGTTATTAATATCCAATATTTTTTAGTACAGTTTAGAAAGGAATTATTGTTTACTTTTAAAATTAAAACCATTTATAAAAAGTGTTTCAAATAATAAATTTCAGATAGTGCTTATTAAACTAAATGATTACATTAATGAGTTAATAGAAATAATAAATAATAATATTATATGAATTATCAATGATATTATAATAATGTTAATAATTTATTTGGCTTAGTATAATACTGTGGTTCATTTAGTGCAGTATAATATTGTAGACTAGTAGCAATATAATATCAAATTAGTATGATATAATTTGATTCATTTTAAATGAACAATTGTAATTATAAAATAAAATATTTATAAAATAAAACCAAATACGGTAAATAAATAATATTATATAAAGCTAATTAATTATAAATTAATTATGTTCGTGAAAGATATAAAATATTGTAATATATAAATATTTTGGTATAAATCCAAAAATAATAGCATCTCATTATTTTAAAAAATAAATCTTAACAAATCTAAAACATATTTTTTTGGTAAACAATTCCTAGAAAAATATCCTATTAAAAATGTATTATATTTCAGTTTTTATAATTGATTTAATGCAATAAATTTTGTTGATGCTATTATAATTTTTTGTAACAAAAACCTTTAACATTTTATGCCAAAAACTAATTTATTTATTTTATTTATTTTAATATAAGGTCTATAATAATCTTGCACAATCAAAAATTACAAATTAACATAAAATCCGCGTAACTTAAGAATTTATTTAAAATAATTAATATGTCATAAATGTCTTCATAGGATTAGACGTGGGATTAATTTTAAAGTATATTGTTTTCTATAAGACTTATAACATGCCATAAAATTTAATGATTTATATGTGTTTTGTTTAAGTAATCTCTCTCTCTCTCTCTCTCTCTCTCTGTTTTGTCATTTAAATCCTCTTAACATGAATTTCAAGACTTATTTTAAAGAATATATTTTCCAAGAAATTTATACAATATAATATTACATAACATTAAATTAATTGTTTGTCTTTGAACAACTATAACAACTTTTATCAAATAATTATAGTGTGGGACGAATGTCTTAAAACTAATTAAAAATCTTTTTTAATTAATTTTATCCAAAATAAGTTATCCAATCATATATTTTTAAAATATTATTTATTTAATTAGTACATGATTTTTGATACAATTTAAATATTTAGTAAAACTTTTTATATTATCCAAAAAATCGCCGTTTAGTTCATAAAAACTATACGATCGAGAGTTTGCTTAACATTATTTATCTTAATCTAAAGCCAATTTTATTTCCTCCCTGTCCTCCCAGTGCTCAATGAGATGTGTGTACACCAGTAGTGTATATCTCTGGAGTAAAATCAATGGCAAAACATATACGATATGTTCAAATGATAACTTTTTCCGCTATTATTATACGACTGTATAGTACTGTACAGTAT